CAGGTAAGGTGTTGTATATCGATATCAACTCTTGGATGAAATTGGATCCAGGGATATTATAGAAAGCAATTGTGAATTTATATCCCACCGATGGAATACTAGGATAGTAACGACGATCTATGTTGTATGAGGTCAAGGAACGGCCGATGGGTCATGACCTTCCTTTAATTTACTAAACTCACCTTAACCTTCCCACGGTTCTTCGATATGAGTCCTGAAGCTGTATAAGAGAGACCTCTATAAGGTACAAACCCTCGGAGCCCTGTAACCCTAAAACCTATCTGTGCTATTCACTATCCTTCTTTCCATGTACTCTTAGAGCTGCAATAAAGTGAGAGAGAAACAGAATAAGTTACCAGTGGCTTGCACGAGTCTTAATTATTTATTGTTAATAACTTTTCATGACGTATAGACCCACCCGATCGTTAGTTGTTCGAATTTTTGAAATTCTTCGACTGTCAGATTGGCTGCTCTCTAATAACGGTCATTCAGAGCCATAGATACGCTCGATTAATCGCTCGTCACTCCCGCATCGCGAGTTTAATGACTCGTAATGTGGCTGCGCCAAGGAACGCGAGATTTATGCGAACAGGGGCAGGATCCGTGCCTCTCGCTGAATGTTCCCTCCGTCTCGTGTTCTTCTGGCAAGAGCGAAGGAACAGCCGGAACAGGTCTTAACTTCCCATAAATTCCTTCTTATTCTCTTATTCCTTCTTTTCCTCTTTCTTTTATTCGGCGTGTTTCGTTTTTGATCCTCATTTCCTTGTGTCGAATCGATGTCACGGGCCGGACACGCGTGTTCAAATAACTACGAAGAACGATTTAATGGAGATTACGTAATAAAGAACATTGTCTTATAACCATTTATCAAGGCATCTTTTTTTAATTACAAGCCAATGCTTCATCGACGGATTGAATTTGAGGTAATCAATTAACTGGACCGTACCTTGAAAGCAGTATTGTCTCCGGTTAATGATTCTTCGTCGAAGTCTTAACATCGCGTGATACAAAGTGATTTTCTTGTCAGGATTTTGCCAGCCATTCGCACGCTTCTCTCTCCTTACCAGTTCTCTATAATCTTTTTCTCGGGTAGACTGACGAGGAAATAATTGACGAAGGTCGTGAGAACGGGATAATCAATTTTTTTTTATCACGAGGACGCGTGCTTCTATCTTTTTTGAAATGTAGGAGCCATGTAATGGCGTCTAGTACGAGTGCTGCCGCCAAACGTAATCAAACGTAATAAATGAATGAAACGGTAAACTGATTTTCTTTAGTTTTATACATATATAATATGAAAAAGAAAATCTCACATTCAACATCCAAATAATGACCGTAGACGATGACTAAAGGGGCCGTTAAAAGAATACGTTGGGAATTATAAGAAGCAGAAGCTAGGAAGCGAGACGAAACGAAAGGGAAGATGTGTAAAGGAAGGAAGGAAGGAAGGAAGGAACGAGAGGTAGGAATGCCGTTCTCTTCTGGTTTTCTCAGTGCAAAACCTCATAATAATAATCGCCGGCTATTGCGTTTTAATCAGCCACGTAAAAAGGGCACTCGCACGCTTGTTGGTTTAATAAATTGGCGGTACGCATACGTGGCACATAAACAAATGAAGCCTCGGCCAAGAAGCCGTAATTACTCGAGCTCGTTACATAAGTCGTGCACTCATCCTCGTCCGTTCAATTCTTCCCCGTGGACACAGCGTAAGAGAAAGAGAGTAAGAGTCTTATATCAAACACAAGCCGCACCTCAACACGTATCACCGGTTTTGGCCATTCCGTTAATTCTTGTCACTCCGTCCGCGACGATTCTAGCAGAAGCAATTTTACGAATCGCCATTGTTATTCCAGTCCGCTCGAGACGTACCGCGCATGCGCAGACGTTAACGACCCCAGCCATAAGTGATCCACGCGGCAATTTCAATTATCCGTCTCGTACATTCAAAACTCGTACAAATCATTAACAGCAACGGACTGATCAATTAGGATAAAAAGCCATAAGTGATCCACGCGGCAATTTCAATTATCCGTCTCGTACATTCAGCTACAAATCATTAACAGCAACGGACTGATCAATTAGGATAAAGTGGTAACTGGAATTACTGAAGTTGGATCAATTCCAAGGAGAGGCTCTATTACTTGAACGAAGACTTGTCCACTTATCCTTTACCTGAGTTAGATCTGGCACAAGGAATAAGAAGGAATAACATCGAGTACTCTCTCACGGTCAAGGATTCCAGGCTCCTCCGCTTGCGTAATTCCCTCGCGGGATTCTACGCTTCTCCCGATATCGTTCTTACCTTGTTGCGTTGCTGCCTTCTTCCTATATATTATCCTATAGCTCTTCCAGCAAGGGGCGATACCTCGTGCGATCAAGTGTGCGTCACAAATGCCTTATACTTTTGCTTCTTTACGCTCCCTTTACGCTTCCTTTACCTCTTTTGTCGCTTTTCCACACTGTCTTTCACGTCGGTGTAATCGCCAGTGAGTGAGTGAGTGAGTGAGTGAGTGAGTGAGCGAGTGAGCGAGTGAGCGAGTGAGCCAGTAAATAAAACTCTGATAGAAAGAGTGACAGAGCATCCGCCTGCCGCCACACATTCATTCATAGCGCATGGCAACGGCCTTCGTCGCGTGGCCGGAATTCCTTTGGTTTTGCTCGCTAAAAGCGCAGCCATCTCTTGTGTGAGAAAACATTGCGAGAAGCAAGGCTCGTTAAAGCCTTTCCGCGGATTCTCAAGGAATTATCGCAAGTCTGCCGGACGAAGATAAACGGTAACGTAATAAATACCTAAATACCAAATGCTCTTGTATTCTTTTAGGATTTTTTTCTTTCGTTCTTTTATCTTTGTTCTATCTATGCCGGTGCTCCCACTCTTGGCCAATAGAAGCGATGGGACTGAATCATCGTGGACGACTGATTCGCATAAAATAAATATTTATCATTCGTGAATCACGATACCACCTATACATACGTACATATATATATATATATATATGTTCAATGAAATGTTAAATCCTTTTGATATGTCAAATGGTGAAAAGAAATGGAAAAAAAAAGAGGAGTTCGGGTCACAAGGCACAAAAGTATATCCGACAAAAGAGATTCTCATATTAAAATGTCATTTGGTATACAGAATGCGTAGAACTGTGTAACCAACTACAGTCGTCAGCTTGACTCTTTTGTATTCTATCGTATGATAATGGGAATTCGGTATTCCTCGAAAGATATTTCGAAATATCAGGAAAATTCAGAGACCGCTAAGGAATCAAAAGCAGCGAAGAATTTAAAAGCCCAAGGTATCCGTAGGAGGAGTAAATTGCGGTACGGTGGATATTTTGACGTGGGTATAACCAGTCGCCGGAAGTAGCAATACGTGATTTGTGTTGATGAGAGAGCGCCCGGAAGTTGGCCAGGAAACCGGAAGCCGTCATTGCTCGTCCCTGTTTCGATTTCGCGAAAGTGGGTTTCGGGGAAAATCTCAAAGTCATTGCCGTATACGTAAAATGAAAGTAAAATATTCGACTTAAAAAGAAATTAGAACTCGTAGAGTGATTATTTCTGGATGATTTCATTATATGGATCTAGACACGAGACTCGGGGTTAATAGCACCGCGAAAATACTTGGCAAGTATGTGGCCTGCCAGATACCCGACCAAAATAGATTGCTTAGAATAGTCAAAATGCTCCAAGGGATTCGGAGGTAGGTGGTACGAGACATAGAGGCCAGATCATAGAGAGCTCTGAGTTTAGAATCGCTCATCTAATTCGAGAATAGCATTCAGTACCTTATATTCGAAATATACTTTGGAAAGTATCCATTTGGAAAATTTACGAATCTACCCAGACGTCTCCTCGGCAAGAATTATTGGGGAGGTTAGTAGCGAGTACCCGATAGTTAACAAGTGAAAAGCTTTCTATTAGCAGTGACAAACCGAGCGAATGGACGTGGTCGTTGGCTGGAAATAGAAATAGAAATAGAACGCTCGTCTTTCTCGCGTTCCTCGGATGAATCACGACGGGGCAAGCCTTGCTTATTTGCTTACCTACCTGTATCCGTACCTGTACCTAACCTAACACTTTGCTAGTACCTACTGCTTCTTCTGTTGCGCGTTCGCGCACTTGTCTTCTTCGTCCTCTTCCTTCGCAACGCCTTTCGCCTCCCAACTGAAATCTTTGGCTCGCGAGTCGGTTGAATCACCCTGCTAAATGCAGTTGCGTAATTTTAGTAGCCAGTACCTACCCACAACTGGCAGCTAGGACTCATAGCCAACGGCAGCTGCGACGTTTTTTTCTTTCCTTTCCTTTCTTCAGTCTTAACGTTACTTACTGGAATTCTCGGGAATTTCTATACATACAATATCACTCGCTTTTCATATGTATATTCACGTGTAAAGCTGGTATCAAGTGAACACAATGAAGCTGGCTCTAGTCGATGCTGCGCGAAGGTGCGAACGAAGTCGTCGACTTGTTGCCAGAATGTTCCGTCATCGTGATTCCCGTTGCACCAGCTAGAGTCAGACACGCTATAGATAGTCGAGCTCCCTCGATATATCGGCGTCCTTAGTACCGAAGAACGGGAAGAGAATAAGAATATAAGAATAGAAGGAGAGGGTGTAGATTTAACAGACGAAGAAAAAGAAGAATGGGACAGGAGAAGGCAAGGCTCCTCTCAAACGTGCTTGATGATTCAGACGTAAGATATTCCCGGAGAGCCGTGGCGCCAGATATCCGACTCGGCGCACTTCCTTTGCGAGGCGTGCGGAATCAATAGGTAAATCTTGATCGATAAAACGAAAACTTAAGACACTCAATAATTATTATTAACAATAAGATATATAACCATTAAAAAAAGAAACCAGTAGGCAATATAGCAATCGTTTTTCTTTTCCTTACTGACATTTTTCTTTACTTGTAATAATATTTAAATATAATTTTGATAAGATTATTAATTAATATTATCAATCATTGTACAATTATTCTGTCCTACTGGATGCTGTGGCTACTGGTAACAGCTGTTGGATGCATGAAATAGTTTTTTTTTATCATAACACTGATAAGGAATGTCTGCTGAATGTTTCTCAAGAGCTTCTCTTATCTTTAGGAATGCTCCTTCTCCTGGTTCACCTATTAGACTCCACCTACTAGACCTACGCCACACGTTCTTCTCTTATTCTCTGGCTCTTATTATGGTTTTATTTTTCTTCCTTGAAGCTCTTTTATTTTCTTATTTTTAGATATTACGGTAGGTCCTGTGGGAGCCTTGCGCTACGCTCTTAGCTTAAGTGGAGATATATTCTGGCTTGTGTAATCTTTGGATAACTTCTATCCATGCACCGTTACACTGTTTTTGACCGACACGTGGTTGGCATTAAGATGGCTGCAAGCCTCCAGGGATCAGAAGTTGTTTTCATTGTTAATCTAACCACCAGTCTCAGGATCAACTTCTTATTTTCGGTCTGAACCTCCACACGGTGCACTGGAAAGAAAAGAAAAATATCCTTTCGAACACTCCTCCTAGGCTGTGTACTATTTTCCCATGTAAAAACAGGAGATGCTGAAAGAGAAAATTAATAATTAATTTTCCTTTAAAACATAGTATCAAAAGCTCACCCGGTAGGACATGCAAAATTATATCAGAGGTATGCAACAGTTTTTTTTTTTTTTCTTTCTACATTAAATATATACCTATGACAGTCTAGGGATATTTTGTTTTTGCTTTCTGGTAATTCTAGGGGAATTCTGAACGACAAGGCTTCTCAAAGGATCCAACCCCTCTGCAACGTATACCTGCACCAGGGTACTACAGGCCTATGGACTACAAGGATTCTCATGAGCACTCCTTTCTGTTCCAGCAAAAAGGAATTTATCATCCAGACACACTGTACGGTATACGCTTATATACTTTTGCAGATACTATTGAAGCTATATACTATATTTGTATTTGAACGGTAACTAAAAGCGAAGCTTCCATTAGTAAATTCCCTTATATTTATCTTGGCAAGAATTTGTCCGACCAAATATTTGACAACCCCTGCGCATAAACCGCACGTACGTATTTACGTGTGTATAACGAGTGATAAAAGCTAGGGGAAGTCTTTGATACAAAAGCTACCAGGATAAATGCATTTCCCATAGCTTTGACACGAACCAACTGGCTGTACCATGGCAGATCGTTTCGCGGAAGAATGACAAAGGGATGCAAGTTTACCCAGAGGCAGACGCCCTAGAGAATTTTTTCTATTCTCTTTTTACTTTCTTTTCCTCGTATATACAAGTTTCGTATTTTCATCGCCTTCTGCCTGCCACCGATTCTGCCATTCGAGTAATTCGAAGAAACGAGAATACAGTAACAAGGTTTACCGTCTTGTCAAAAAAGAGATGATCACACATACATTTCACTCATAAATAAGATTTCCCCTTTTGCTTTGATCAGCAGCTCGGACGCTTTGATTACAACATGGAAGACTAGAAGACTAGAAGACTAGAAGACTAGAAGCTGAGGGGACTACCCCTGCGTAAACAAGGCTCTCTCCCCGCAATGAAGGGACTCGTGTCGGGAAGTGCAATTTTGGGCTTGACTGACGTTCAGGATCACGAATCCTGTCAGCGTTGAAACACGAGGACTCTTTGAAGACGGGGACAGGATGCTCGATCAATCATTTTGAAATAGTAGTCGCTAAGGGATGGATGCTTTTAATGTCCTTTTAACGTCAAGTACTTTTTTTTTTCTCCTTACCTCCTTTACCTTTGAGGTAAAAAAGAGGAAATTCAAGGGAAACGAGACTATTTCCTAGAGTCCATTAACATCGACGTATTGCGTCCGGGTAGCTATAGGTATATAGATATAAGGAAATCGATCAGGGGTTTCACCCTCGATTTTCATGCATATAGGTAAAATCCCCTCGTATATCCCATGAGAATGAACTGCTGTGGTGGACGTTAACGACGACAGCCATCATCAATTTATCGCGGCATCTCGTCGGTCGTTGGGATAAGGTCTTTTTGGATAAGGATGATTCGTACCCTCTGAAAATGATGCAGCCGTAGTTGGGTAATTTTATTCATGGACGTAATAACAGTTTAATGCGTGTTTACTCACGTGAATTATTGGAGGGTCCTCCTAATCAGTGGCCATTCATGGCTCCTCTAAGGATCCACGCGAGTCCCATAAATTGGGACTATCAATTTTCTTATTTTTAGAATAAGGATGTTGGGAACCTCCTTTACGTTCTTAAAGATTTTTTTTATACCTTCCGTCCTGCATTTCTATTCCTTTCTAGTCTTATTTTTTTTTCTTTCTTTCTCTCCCTGACACCAGTAGAAATCTGCTAAATGACTTCCTCCTGTTTTCCATCCACAAATTGCTCTAGAAAGAAAAACGATCCTTCTTTTATTTTTAATACCTCGAGACTCGAGTACGGCTAAGAATATTCAAAGACTTGGTTGCTTTTCTAAGGATGCCGATAAATTCTCTTTATTCCTCGCAATGGCCTCCAGGTTGCTTGCATCGGTCATTAATTGGTTATACAATGTATTCACTTTTGTAATATCGTATTTTGTATCTGGTAAACAGAGACCAGAAGAGAACGCTAAAGGAAATAGTAGATAAAATATTGAAAGGATTTGTATGAAAAAGCATTTTGAAGATTCTGGTTAATCGGCTCGAGATACGCGAGCGAACACGAAGAAGGAAGAAGAGGCGAAAGAGAGAGGAAGAGTACGAATAATAAGAAGAAAAATTCTTTTGCGAAGAAACTGGTTCCCTAAAAATATCCAAGCTGGAACGTATAGCCATGGTCGCAATTACATTAGACTTTGAGATTTTCACCGTGTCCGAACAAAAAAACCATGAAAACTAGTTTCTTTGTGGCGGATCCTGGCGTGTTTTGAAATTTAAATCGGCGGCGTGTGTGCCACACGACAACGCGATCTCAAGACGGTTGAAAACGGTTTAAGTTACCTTTTTCAAGCCGAGCGCCTAAGCCGTCGGTCACGACTCGGTTTAGTTCCCACGCCGATTATCTTCGGCGTGGCGCAATCTCGGCTTGACGATGTTATTGTTTTGCTCGGCTCGGGGTTTTCCTCTATTTCCCGGAATCCCCGTGCCGTTCTGCAAAACAATCCGATAGAAGGAATTCAAGACGGTTGAAAACGGTTTAAAGCGGTTAGAGCAGCGGAGCCGATCGTCTCCATAGAAACACTAAGCAGCGCCTGCGAATTCCAAAGATAAGCGAGAACGCGAATCCTTTGCCGTACATCGAACCATCCCTCTCTCGTTTTACACACACACACGCACGCACCGTCCTCAATGTCACCCCTACGAAATATTAGACTACAAAAGAGATTGACAAAGTGAAGAAAAATGAAAAAACAAAAAAGAAAGAGAAAATTCAAGAAGAAAGCCTACAGAGAATTTCCTCTCGTTCAAGTGCATCAAAGGTCGAAAATAAAACTGAAGATGCACCAGGAATGCGAAGGCCAGGACTCGCAGGATGCACCAGACAGAATGCATACAGCGATTCCACAGTGAATGGCTTACTCGAGTACCGAAGATCACTCGACACTGAATATTCTTTGTTTTCTCAAATAATGTACCAGTCTCGGTAATAACAATGAACATCACCAGATGAGATAATCCTGTGAATTAACAAAGATCATTCAAATGGCAGTGTGCATCGAGCGATATTCATTGCGGACCGAATGCAGATCATATATATGGAGTAGATCATATTTATGTGTGTATATATATATATATATATATATATACACAATATACAATCCATCAGTCTGTTCATCGATCCTTCCTCTCGTACGTTCTCTGAGCATATATATATATATATATATATACAATCCATCAGTCTGTTCGTCGATCCTTCCTCTCGTACGTTCTCTCAGCATCCACAGCGTCCACAGCGTCCACAGCATCCCGTCATCTTGACTTCCCGTGGCAGTGCTCGGCCTCGGCCGTCCTTGCCCCCTGACGTAGGCAACACACAGCGTACTCGCTACTAACAGCATTGAAAACATTGTATGCGGTGGATTAGAAAGGCCCGGGCTCAGCTTTGTGCGTAGGAGGGAAAGTTACTGAGATTCTCCCACCTTTTTTGCAGAATCAGAAGTTATCGTTGGCCATAGGTAACTTAACTTACGGTGGTGCAATCACAGTGGCACCAATGATATTCTCAGAGTAGAGAACATACGGTTTTAGTTGCACAGATGCAATTAAGCGCAGCATCCTTATGCCATACTATGTAAACTTATCGTATGGGTTATAGACAGGGTTAGGAATTACGGTTCCATTTTGTATTCCGTGCTGCAGTACTTCCATTGGTATCAGGAGGCTGTTAGAGGCTGGTTGAAAAGTCGTGGTGCTTTTTACTATCTATAGATCTATACATCTGTAAGGAGACTAGAGAGCACTGGCATTCAGCATCCATTAATCTGAACAGGATATCGGATAACGCTGGTATAGTTTACTACAGTGTGGTAGGTACCTGGGGAATCCACGTATGGGAGGAGAGAAAAGCGAGTTCTCAAAGTCCTGGTGGCTTCCTCCTGATGACAGCAGATTCATCACTCGGCACCAGGTAAGGATTCCGTGACCCCGGACCATTTCTTTTTAATCTTCTCCTCCAGCCGTGGTAACCTAGTCAAGATTTTCATCAATGGATCAGCCAAAGCATGCCAATAAGTTGGTAACAAGAGTTTTGTCTAAACCTCTGAGATTCGTTACCTTGAATATTCTCAGTTTGTCGCCATGCTTGAGTTTACAGGGGCAAATTGATGCCCAGGGTGTAAATGGATGTCAAGCTGGCGCGTGATGTCTGACTAATTAAAATTGACAGTTATCTCGTTCGAACGGGTGGGCTGTCGTTTACGGAAGATTTAGATAAATCGTTCTCCGCTTCTACCTTAGAACGATGCAGCTTCTCTTCTTATGCTTTGTTTTTTTTACTCCCCTTATTCTTCTTCTTCACGTCCATAACTGTTCATTAACGTTTCTTCTTGGAGTTACCGCTGCTCGCTGAGACGTGTCCTTGCTTATCTGTGCTTGATATTCTCAATACTCCTGGCACTACTGATAGATATCCGATGACTGACACGATCGTCACGGAACGTTGATTTTTCACTGTTATATTTGCTCGGCGATAACAAATCTTTAATACGTTCACTGTACGATCAACGTTTGGTTAACGTCACTTTTTCGTATTTGAGGTTAGAATTATTTTTGACAGACGGAACAATGACTTTCGTATCGATACAACCGTTTTTATTCTTGCACCTCGTCAATTTGCAGTAATCAACAGGCAGACTCTTCCATTCCAGGGTCACTGTATCAAGATAATCGTTATCCTTATCGAGATTAACCGATCAACGTTTGGTTAACGTCACTTTTTCGTATTTGAGGTTAGAATTATTTTTGACAGACGGAACAATGACTTTCGTATCGATACAACCGTTTTTATTCTTGCACCTCGTCAATTTGCAGTAATCAACAGGCAGACTCTTCCATTCCAGGGTCACTGTATCAAGATATCAATTTCCCGAGATAGCCGTTTTATCACCTTATTAGGAATTCCCAAGCGTAGTCTCTCGCGATACCGATAAATTATTCCTGCATTCCATTATTCATGCTACTGCCATAAGCCCGTACCTAGCCATAACCATGCAGAATCCATAGCTAGGAATAATATCACACGAGAAAGAATATCAGATCTCATAAACTAAGAACCTCAAGAAAAACAATTATCCACTCGAAAAAAGCGGTAGCAATAAATAAACCATTAATTTATTTAACCTATTGGTATGATTCTCTTTTGAAAATCAGAAAATGTATCTAAAATTCTAAATCGTACTAACAATGCTTTTCAAACGCATCCCTGTGCGAATTCCTAATGTCCGTTGAATAGTAGGCAAAGAAGGGAAAATACACGTTCGGGAATTTCCGTAGAGGCTCGGTCGTACTCGTGACTGTCACCGGTACTAGTGACGAAGAGAGGGAGTAATTCCCAACTCACTTCTTCTTGGTTCTCCAGCAGAAGAGTGGGGAGTCCATGGAAGTCGGTACACCGTGCAATCGTTAGTCTACTGTCGGAGCGAATGGTCGCACCTCGCACATGCAAACCGCGTGCAATTCCCGTCGCATCCTCGTTGCAATTGCAGATTGCAAGTCGAGTCGAGTGACCGAGGAATCGTCAAATACATTTATTGAAATGCATCGTGGCGTAGAAAAGTATTCGGGAAGTGACGTGGTGCTTTATTCGTAATAAAAATATATTTTTTGAGAAATTTATTAAGAAACAGATAGACACGAGTAAACGTATTAAAAAAAGAAGAGAAGAAAAACGAACCTACGAAAATTGTGGTAAACGCGCGGGGTTCGGGCCTTAAAAGCCGTCGTCTTTTTTCGAAACTATTTTACGGTGTTTCTTTCTTCCGAGTCTTGACTCTTACGAAATTTATTGATACGTAACGTTATTATTGAGTGTGTGTCTTGCGGATTATTGGGATTATTCTTTCTCTGATTATCCTGGCTGATAGTCATGACTGCCGACGGCTTTTTCGAGATTACCAACATCCCGGGGCATCTTGCTCCCACGCCACAACGACTCGAGAGATTACTCTCGAAGCAGAGCCTCGAGGAACTCTACGAGGTCGAGGAACAGCCATTTGCACGGTAAACATTGAGTTTATATATACATCTATATAGAATTTTGTGTTTCGTATAGGATTAAGCGAAAAACTTTCGACAGTTCGGAATAATCGTATTGAGGCTGACCTCGTGTTTTCTCGGAGAAATTCGTCGACTTTATTGAATGTAAATGAGACGCGTACGAAAATACGAAAGATTTCTCGAGGAACAAGGTCGAGTTGTGCATATCGATAAACCGATAGAATCATCTTCGGTCAATAGTCATCAGTGTGGAATGTGTGACGTTGGTATTGACTGTGCTTCCGCTATGTCGTAATATTTTGTACCGTCTGTCTAATAACGTACACATGAAATATCAAAATGAAAAAGCATTTGTATCCCTAGATCCAGCAGTACAGTGAAAACGTAATGGGCGGATACTCGATGCTGCTAGATCCTGAAGTCTTGTCGAATGGGACTTTGACAGTGATTTTAAATAGATGTAGATCCAGCAGTACAGTGAAAACGTAATGGGCGGATACTCGATGCTGCTGGATCCTGAAGTCTTGTCGAACGGGACTTTGACAGTGATTTTAAATAGATATATTGACTGTGCTTCCGCTATGTCGTAATATTTTGTACCGTCTGTCTAATAACGTACACATGAAATATCAAAATGAAAAAGCATTTGTATCCCTAGATCCAGCAGTACAGTGAAAACGTAATGGGCGGATACTCGATGCTGCTAGATCCTGAAGTCTTGTCGAATGGGACTTTGACAGTGATTTTAAATAGATAAAAAAACCGTTAGATAAAAAAATATTACTTCTAAACGTAAATATAATTGAACAAAGTTTATACCACTGCAATGGTCATTAATTTTCATTGCGTCTTTCTTCGTAACAGTCCTTATGCATCTTTCTGAATAATGACCCAGGATTAAACTTTCTACAAATTCATAATTTATCCTGGACTCCGATCACCACCGGTATTACCACCAGAAACGGCGGCACGAGGGTGAAAGGAATCCATGCATTCCTGCATCCTTTCTTTCGCTCCTGCCAACGCTCATTGGTCGGGAAAAAGGACCAGCCGATTCCGGCCGAGAGGCTAGCACCGAACAAAGAAAGGCCTCTCTGTCGTCGCAGACCTCTACTCTCTCCTTCTCGCTCGTGGCCTTTCGCGGTAGCCATTTTACGGGCGATTTCCTCAACAGAATTCGTAAGAATCCGAACTTCGGACTTGAAATCGTCACGATCAGCCGCATTCATCCTCGATTTGCTCGACCGCCATTATCGTATCAGGTATAACTTCGACGTGCAATGTAGGTTGGGAAAGTTTTCATGAAAAACTTATATTCTATAATAATTAGTCTATCGGAATAGTAAGGAGTCACAATTTAAATTCTACATTGGTTAAAGGAAGAATTTTCTTAAGGATCTAGAAGCCATTAGAAGTTCAATTCATACGGTTCTACTGGTTGGATCTATTGATCAGGATGCAATTAAGACAATGCCGCTAGCTAGATCGTAGATCATACGATCTATACAAATGTATACCATTGATCTATCGCGCATACAACCAGTCGTGATCAGGTCGATTATTTATTCTCTTTTATTCTATATACTGATATTATCCTTCTTCTCTCTCTCTCTCTCTCTCACACGCACAGCATCACTCTGCCTACCCACGGTAGGGGCGCACTAGGAATTGACTCTGCTCGGCGACAAACTCTAGTTTACAGTAGACGAAGAAGGATAAAGTGAAAAGAGAGTAAAAAAGCGATGGTTTAGCGTGGGTTGAAAATAGCCCGTGGCCGGACGGGGTATTCCGAGGGCGTCTGGTATGCACTTGCCACTTGATATTTATATCACTTATAGGTGGGAAAATCTAAGGAATTCATTACTCAACATCTAATCCTGGATTTAGGAAGTTATTCGTAAAATTCAAATAAAATTATTCCCGTATATAAAGTCACTCTGGTATTTCTACAACAACAACAACGTTACGACGCTTATACATACGGTTAATAAGTAAATTGCGGAATTTGTAAATAAGTATATTATAACCTATGAAATTTATCACTTTAATTAACAGCGGCATTTTATCGCCCACGCACGCAACTCCCTACTGCCTTTTAGGAAATGAACTCGTTTCGCTCCTTCTTTGATTTATTTCTTCCTACTCCTTAAATGGTCCAGAGTCATTTATCATATTCGTCTAGATACGACCTTGAGGATCTCATCTGCCCGCTCGACACTGTCAGGTAAACTGTCAAAGCCGTAAAATGTCGTAAGACGATGTCAAGTAAAAAGAAAATCTTTAGTTGGTGGTATTTCTGAAAATATACGCCCCTGGTCCAGCACGCGAGAGATTCTCTCTTTATCTTGCTGACGTCTACGCAGCATCCGTTCCACTACGGGCAGCAGGAGCTTTGAGTGCGGCCATTCATAAATTCGTGAAGGGTTATACACTCTCTCTCTCTCTCTCTCTCTCTCTCTCTCTCTCTCTCTCTCTCTCTCGACTTTATGCTCAAGGCACTTTTCATCTCTCTTATCATTAATCGTTGAACTTACCGAAGGAGTTCATTAAGCTTTTCTCAAGTTCCTTCTAGGAAGTGGAAGTACCGTTGCGCTACAGTAAGAATGATCGATAAGTATATAACTCTCGTGTATAATGCATTGTTTATGTATGGGTTTTTTTTAAAAAGCTTTTTCAACATGTTTAATCGACACAACGTGCAGTAGTATTTCGCGTGGCGGCGATCCCTTTTAGACTTCCGTTGGGTTAACCGTAAATTGTCAGTGGACGCTGGGTAATAACCATAATGAGGACGGCAGTCGGGTGAAGGTCGGACAAGTCGAGCATGTGGTGGCCGTTGGCGAACGATCCGGCGGGGTTTTGCTTCTTCAACGTTTCTTTGCCTGCGAAACAGCCGGGGCCTACTAGTTGTGAATAGGCCTAAAGGAGGCGCCGCGGTCCGTCGGCAAGTTATCGACCCAGCGACGGTCGCTCTAGTTTCTTTTGGCTGCGTTTAAATCGGATGCCTCGAATTTAGGCGAAAGACTTGGGGAATTGGCGGCTGAGGCATAGATACAGTTAGAGGGATACATTTGTAGCTGTGGAGCTAAGTGCGTTAAGTTTTCGACGATGGAACATCCTAGGGGAATTTTATGGAGGATTATTATTAGTTTGTATCTATACTTTGATTACGCAATGCACACTGAGAGAAGCATTGAACGAACGTGGACTTATGGTTGATTGTGTTTGGATTCTTCTTTTTTTTTTTCTTCTTTCAAAGAGCAACCGTCTCTTTTCAGCGCTTCTCTCGATTACTCCTAGGTCGCCATTGGTATTTTCTGGTAGCTCTCAGGCCGCCTAGGTGTGCAGCTGGGCTCTGAAATTCAAGGCGGTGAGATCGCATGGCCAAATAAAAGTGCCTTACGTTATAGCTGCCTATAGCGGGCACGATGACACGTGTGTGCGCGACGTGGGGCAACCTCCGGGCTAAGAAAAAGGCACCCACGCCACTCAGGAATCCCAAGGGCGACTTTACGTTATGTAAAGACAGTCGTGCCTGCGCCAATCGGCGATCGGCGATGGCCAATCGATACGGACCTCGATAGTCGCGTTCTCGCGTTCTAGATTCGATCTTAAATAAATATAAGCAGGACGGATCGACTTCTCTTGCTTTGTTACATATTGCTAATTAATTTTGTCTTTTTTTGGGGGGATTTTACTTTTCTCTCATCATATATTTTCTTTGCTATCCCTCCTGCCATCGACACTTGCATTCTGCTATCCTGCGCGTCGTTCGTTGGTTTATTTTAAACCTTGCCCGAGATTCCTCCGTATTTCTTCTTTTTGGAGAATTTACCGATTTCACCTGAAACCTGCAAATTATCGATTTTGCTTTATTTTCACTAACTCGATTTTCTATTTTCTTTTTTTTTTTTCCGGTTCGATTAGGAATTTTAGTAATTCAGAGTTATCGAACAGGTTACGATTGTCGCTGATCGGCCGATCGAGATATCCCGTTTGAGCAGGGACACCCACTACCCGCTCCTCTAACGGGTTCCTTTCTAAAGCAAAGCAGGATCTTGATTCTTGTTTGTCGACGGCCGCACACGCTGCTTGTTCAGGATCTTTCAGTATTTTAACCTTTTTATTTTACCACCCTCTAGTTCGGAGGTGTTCCTCCAATGAAGGATGTTTGTTGTTCTCACCTGAAAACCGTGGGAAAAAGAAATAACGCCTAGTCCCGATATCGCGCCTTTGCTATTATTCCGAAAAACAGAATCTTTTTCCTGTCCCATAAAATCTCAATGGCCGATATAAAGGTTTGCGATCGACCAACAAAACGATCTATGCAATCGTAACAGACTGCAACGATGCACCGCGTGTCAGTGCATAAGGTGCAGTTCCTCAGCCGTGCTATTTTTACTGCGCTGCAAAACTTGGACGGTCCCGTGTTCGGTGTTTGCAAGAAAATTGCGTACGATCACTTTCTTACCTGAAGTTTACCGCACTCGTACTACACTTGGCGAGCGTGGCCGTCGTGGCCGTTTAATGCATCGGTTAGCGGAAACTTCGGAGCGGATAATTTTTAAATTGAAAGAGGAAAGAAAAAAGCATCTCTGAGCAACCGCCAATAGTACAATAGTACAATAGTACAATAGTACAGTCGGCACTTGTTCAGTTCGATCAGAATTCCTCGATTAAATAATAAGAATTCAGTTGCCTTGCGAAATTATGCATTTCTTAGCTCGTTCGCCGTTTTCCTTTCTTTCTTAACCTGCATCGGCGTCTGCGTTTCTGCAACCTTCGAGCAAACGCAAGATTTCTCGAGTTCAGCTGGGCGTGTCTCTGGCTCGGCTGTCTGGTTGACTGCTGCCGCGTTGGGCCCTGCCGGCCCCTGCTGGCTCCTGCTGGCTCTACTCGCCGTTCACCGCCGCGGCGAGACTTCAATTTCAAAACAATGTCTGCCCTACCTTATTGGTAAGGTCGACCAGCCGCCTGTACCGTCGTGTAATGGACGATCCCGA